TGCTGGTTCATCCAGCGACAGACGTGCTCTGGTGTGATGTTAAGGAGCTCGCCCATAGTGAAGACGTAGTCGCTGCTGTACGCCACTTCGTTCGTGAAGGCCATGAACCTCATGAGCTCCTGTTTGTAGCGACTTGTCATGATGGCGTGTTTTTCTGTACTGATTATTTATATTCTCCATGAAAGCCAGTGTAAGTTGACTTATTTTTCGTATAGAGAGGCTACACTGGACGGCTTGCAACTCTACACAGACGTTTTGTATCTGTCCTGGTTGCAAAAGATGACGCTTTGTGCTATGGTACATGCAACAATAGTTGCCAACGACACCTACTTGAGCGGGACCGTACAGACCACGATCCAGGCCGGTACCATGCCATTGGCCAATCACAGACTGCCAATCTAAAAAAATACAACCTCGGTTGCAAATGGCTGGTAATGTAAGAGTACCGGTACTGGTATGCTCGTTCCCGTGTTCTCGCTACATGGTAGAATTTCCTCTATTTTTAAGGGGTACAATTGAAAAGGTGTTTTTTTCCTTTTTCTGCCTGCGGACTGTGTCCGCCGGACATGTCGGGGGGGGGTCATGCACCTGAGCACCCTTTTACCAACGGTAATACAGGTTGTAATACTTCTACAATGTAAGTACATTACATGTATTGTAGAGCACGTTACCACAGATACATTTTCTCCCAGATTGTTCATAAAGTCAGCTCAGAAACATTATTATTTTAGGCGGCTAGGATACGGTTTTGTCCATGATCCGACCAGGATTCTACACCGGATCAATCAAGGAATAGATTTGCTCTTTTCGTAGAACAACACAAAAAAGAAAAAGGTTCATCGTACAGCGGCTTATGTATCCTGACTCAAGCACTGCTGCACATAGAGGGAGCACAGAATATCCTCTCAGCTGTGATAGCTTCGAGAATATAATAAACTGGGGTTACCGATATCACAATCCAGAGTGTACCTATTCAACGGTACAAACAATACATGCTGGTATAGAGGCTGACATTAAATCCGTCCATATTTACAGTACCGTGGAAAGCAGAGCTTGATACGTGTCAAGTTGACAGTACCAACCAGCTCAACACAAGGCCACATTGACGATTATGCGTAACTCGCCATAACGTTTTCCCTAACAAAATTGCTAGCTTGTTGGAGACGCTTACCTTACGTCATAGAAACAATGTTTGAGCGAAGTTATGCCTCGACAACTGCTTAGTTACCAACCGAGAAGCCACCATCAATGTATGCGAGATCGTAGGTGGGTATGCATCTTGTCAGCTTTGCACATTCGGGGGGGGGGCAACGATTGGGCGATTTTTGCGAGTTTGGGGAAACCGCCTCTTTCATGCGTTACTGTAGCCTAATTTTAAGATGATTCGTCTTCAAAAGGGCCATCTGCCACTCGCTGTGCGAATACTTTCGGCGGAGACTTCTTGTGGGCCCTTTTCAGTGAATCGCCGTACTTTGCAGGGCAAAGCAGAGCGAAGCGCCATGGTAAAATTGGTGACTGGGTTATTGAACACTGGTGATCTCAGCGCGATAAGCAACCCCTTTTATGTTCCCTTCTCTGTACAATCCAGAGTGTACCTTTTCAACGGTACAAACAATACATGCTGGTATAGAGGCTGACATTAAATCCGTCCATATTTACAGTACCGTGGATAGCAGAGCTTGATACGTGTCAAGTTGACAGTACCAACCAGCTCAACACAAGGCCACATTGACGATTATGCGTAACTCGCCATAACGTTTTCCCTAACAAAATTGCTAGCTTGTTGGAGACGCTTACCTTACGTCATAGAAACAATGTTTGAGCGAAGTTATGCCTCGACAACTGCTTAGTTACCAACCGAGAAGCCACCATCAATGTATGCGAGATCGTAGGTGGGTATGCATCTTGTCAGCTTTGCACATTCGGGAGGGGGGCAACGATTGGGCGATTTTTGCAAGTTTGGGGAAACCGCCTCTTTCATGCGTTACTGTAGCCTAATTTTAAGATGATTCGTCTTCAAAAGGGCCATCTGCCACTCGCTGTGCGAATACTTTCGGCGGAGACTTCTTGTGGGCCCTTTTCAGTGAATCGCCGTACTTTGCAGGGCAAAGCAGAGCGAAGCGTCATGGTAAAATTGGTGACTGGGTTATTGAACACTGGTGATCTCAGCGCGATAAGCAACCCCTTTTATGTTCCCTTCTCTGTACAAATATTAAAAGTAGCGTAGTCTGTCAGCATTTCCTTTATTATACAGATAAGGTGCAAACCTGAGCAGAGGCGGAGATCGTTGTATTGCAATCATCTTTGCCAAATCATTTAATCTGCACCTTACAGTCTTCAGTTCAAATTCAACGTCGCTCGTGAGTATAAGTCTAATAAAAACGGTTGCGGATACCACGCGCTTTCTAAAAAGTACAAAATTTCGCCGTCCAAGGTACGCGACTGGGTCAAAAACCTCAACAAACTACAGCAAGTATCGAGAGACCGCCAAGTCGGCACACGCCTGGCATGCCGAATGTCCAGAGCTGGGCGTAAAGCAGAGCACCACGACCTAGAGAAGCAGCTTCAAGGCTGGATAGTCAGCCGAGATACAAGGGGTTTGCTGGTCGAAGACAAATGCATTCGACTTCATGCACTGAATATCTATGGCTCCATGAGCAGCGATGGAGACGCGAAACGCCATCCTTTTGCCGCTTCTTCGGGGTGGCTCGACCGCTTTAAGCAGAGGTACAATCTTGTGTCACGGCGACATACCACAACAAGGACGCTTCCAAGCGATGCGAGCAAAAGACGTCTGGAGTTTATTATAAACGCACAGAAAATTATCAGAAAACACAACATTCAGCCACAAAATATTATAAACATGGATCAAGTCCCGAGGTGTTTTAAAACAGAGCCAAAACATACAATTACTACTCGAGGTACCAGAGAAGTCCTTCTTCAAAAAGGCGGCAGCAGCCACAAACGATTTACTGCCAGGTTCGCAATTACTGATGAGGAAAAATTTCTGGCGCAACATGTTCTCTTCTCAAAACTTAAAAGAAAACCAGTTGTCCCAGAGGGCGTTTTTGTTGATGTCAACCCCACTGGAATGTGTAATGACTCAATTCTTCTCGATCACACCAAAGCAGTTATTTGCAGCAGAAAGAAAACACAGTTTTATCGACAACCAGTACTCTATATTATCGACTCTTACGCTTGTCACGTTACGCTGTTTAACGAGAAGCTACTACAGAGCTACAACATCTTCGTTTTACTGGTGCCACCGAATTTAACCAATCTGCTGCAACCCTTGGATGTCGCGGTCAACTGTAGTATTTATACTTACTACACTTACAAGTTCGACGAGTACATCGGCCGAGCACTCGACGACAAGAGCCTCCAAATAAAAGCAGGAAACCCGAAAGTACCGCACTACTCCGTAGTGTCCCAGTGGGTCCTGGACTGGATATCTGCAAAGGAACCGGGCGAGATCAGGAAGGCTTTTAGGACGTGCGGCCTTGTGCCAAATTCTGTGTTCGACAAAGAGGATCTACATCACCCGCTGAAGGAGCTCCTCTTTTCAAGCATCGACATGAATGAGTAGTATATCCGCTATCAGCACCTGATCGACGGTGATGACAGCGACAGAGAGGAGGTATGTCTCCAACCACCAGCTTAGTATCTGCCAGAAGACTGCGGTTCAAGCCTGTTTTTCTGTCTACGGTACTCACTAGCAAGTACTATAGCTGATTATGCCAGTGTCCTGACGAGCTACATGCAGTAACTGGGTGACCTGGAAGTTGTTTGACGACGACTACGTAAACTCGATTCGCAACGGAGATAAGGACGGAAGCGAGTTTGATCTTCTCGCCGCATCTCGACTGCACAATTGCGACATTCAGGTAAAAACACTCGATGATGAGTGAAAGGTCACATCTACGTATACATACACCGCTGCTGATGCTTCGAGAACGGTTTGTATTGCTCGACTTGGCTCCTATTTTGCATTGAAGGTGGATGGCATGCACGTTTAAACTTTAATGAATTCCTGCTTTAGTTTTCTTCTGGTTTTAGTAAAGGCACTGCAGTAGAGCGCCTACTCGTTTCATAGGAATACAGCGTCCACTGGGCTGTCTATTTTAATTGTACGCTTAGGCGGCTGGTGCGCGGTAAGACGGTAGCGTTAGTTTATTATGAATAGATGCCGTAGCCTGCATCAGGTTACCGGGACTGCATTGGCTTGCACGTGGTGCGTGTCGTAAGTGTCAAGCACGACATCATGTCGCCAGCCTTCCTTGTACTGCTGCTTTACTCGGTCTTTGTAGACTCGGGAGCTGTCTTTATCCACCGTGTGGTTGCTGCGCTTCAATGTACCTCAGTTGTGTTCTTTACATTTGACAAACTCGAAGGCTGTTTGTTGTACGGTACAGAGTACCAGAATTAATTGGCGGTCAGGTTGTATGTACACATCGAAAATCGGAATGCTGAAGTCCCATTTTGGGGGGAAATCGAGCGACAACTTAAATGAAAAGCACTTTTCAAGTAAACCATTTCGGAAATAATCAACCGTATCGTATCTGAAAGGGCTACCAGCACTCGTTTAATTTTATGAATTGTATTCTTATCGATATTTCAGCTTAAACGTGCACCGCAACCACCTCCCTTACATGCGACTAGCTAGCGTTCAAAGAAAATTTACGTCACCCCGCATCGCTCCAAGCGTACGTACAAGATGTAGCTTGTGCTCTGGCACACGGCGGTGTGCAGTCATGCTGTACGGAGCTACACCGAGCCGCCACGCTCACAGAAAGGTACAAATGCAGCTTCTACGTTTGAAGTGCAACATACATGATCTATGGTCACCGACTCAAATATACACCTACAAATGCTGTGAGAAAACATGTAGAAGTGACCTCGGCAAATCTGTATGCTTTACAGAAGTACGAAGCACTGTCCGCACGTGCACAGCGTCTTCAGCTGGCCATCACGGATGCATATAGCGAGTCGGTTAAGAAGCGTAAATCGATTGAGTTTCTGCCCTATCAGCTTTGGATGGTAGGATATGGGTCTATCATGGTATTAACGAAGTAAAAATGATCATCTATTTCAATTTTGACCGGTGCGATATGTTTGGGAGATGTCTGATCATGTTATTGGCGCCCAAAGGGTGATCATTTGTACCATTTCTTAATGCTGACTCCCCCAATTAACCACCAACGAGAGGAAAGAGGGAGCATGTATGCCGTTGACCATGTTCTACAATGCACCACAAAAGTATATGGACGCTTACTGTTTTATCAAATCTCAATGACTACTTAGCATTAGTGGATGCAGTTTCGACAAGAGTAATCGATATGGCCGCGAGGCTACACCCGGACGCGTCAATTTCACACTACACTACGTTTAGGCACCTTAGATCTGCGGCAGCACCTCAAAAGTTGAAGAACGCAACACGTTACGGTAGCAACACAATTAAAAGTGGCGTCTATAAAATCTGTGGCCGTTCTGTGGCCGTGCATCGAGCTGAAGGCAAAGGATAGGAAGGAGCCAATGCGATCTTGGCATAGGGAGGCACCCTGAGCGTGGCACAGCGTGCGTCGGCAGAAAGTGTGTGGACCATTACTCAACGGGGGGGGGGCTTCCAGAACCTGCATGGTGGCCGTCTGGCACTCACCCAAATGCCAAAGCGTATCCCGTGGCAGTAGAAGGCCTTCGCGGCCGAGGCGTCCGTCGCAGACGCGTTTCTGGAGGAGGTGAAGTCCTTCGATATTGTTAACAGTCACGTCATGGCGTGCACTGTGTCTATGGGAGCGGAGCAGCACAAGATGCGCTATAGACTGCTAGAGGATAGCTCTTTATTATGCGGTGAGGGCCAGTCGTCGCCCTGCAGCGGGCGAGGCAAGCTGCTGTCATGCGAGGCAACGCAGCGCGTATTTATCTACGACTATGGTGCGCACGCTACTGAGGTGTCTTCGCCGAAGAAGAAGAAGCTAGCTACTGCACAGAATAGTGCAGAGAGAAGGCAAACGATCACATTCGGCCGTTGCGGATCCGACACGGGATGTCTCGCAAATTCTCCACCCCGCTTGAGGACCTTCCAGATTTGAGCGTCGTCCAGAACTTTGTAAGCCACTACAGTCGCATCTATCTTGACAACCATGATTGAGTAGACGCCCTGCGGAAATAAGTTCACGCGAGGAATTACAACGGAAAGGAAGTTAAGGATCAGACATTCACGTTTTGCTGGGAGGCCGATGCTCAGGGAGTCCCTAAAGTGGGGGACGGCTCCGACGAACGGCTGTTTATTGTGGGTATGTCGACAAAGGGCTTGACGATGCAGCTGTTGATGCCACCGGACGGCTTCATCTTGCACGTAGATGCCACGTGCAAGATAAATTACCGTGGCTGCCCGGTTATTGTCGCTGGTGTGTCTGCGAGTTTTTCAACTAGTGGAATTGTTTGTAGTTTCTCAAGAAACCCAGGAAAAATTCGAGGCTGTGCTACTGTCATTGCAGCGCGTATTCTACTTTATTACGCACAAGAATCTGGTTGTTCGATATGCAATGGTAGATGCAGACCAAGCCCAGTATAACGCACTCAACTCGTGTTTGGCAAGACTAAGGGATTTACATTCCTTATGTGTTTTTTTATGTTGTCAAGAACATATACAAGGCGACTAAAGCTTTCCCTCGGTTATATCGGCTAGCTTAATACATGGGGTGTACGATTTACACATCTCGCGATCGGAGTTAGACTTTCAGCGACTTCAGGAGCACGTTTTAGTGACGTGGTTGGGAAATCCTTACACTGTTAGATTCGCGCAGTGCATGACTGACCAGTGGCTGTACGGGGGTTCTGGAGATGGCAGCACTTTTTCACACCGCCCAGTTTTGCTGCTACGAAAAGGCCGGTGGAGATTTTTAACGCGCGACTAATACGGGACTACACGCTTCGACGCCGGCTCAAGATGGGTAAGCTCCTGCGAGAGTTATCGGCCTGTTGCAACGATGTTTCGTCGAGTATGCGTCCCTTTAGCTACGAGATCGCGGTGGCGAAATCCCTCACACGCAGAGTGTCCGTGATGATCAAAGAGTCCCTAATAGGAGTGTGGACCGGTGCTATTCCACCTTTTGCGTGTGCTGTACGCTCCAATACTATTTACGTAGTATCCAACATGGCTAAGAGAGTGACTGCTGCCCCCACACAAGAGATCCAAGGCCGGTATTGCAGTGTCTGCGCAGATGGGCGCAAACTACGCTCGTATGGAGGTACAAGGGCAGCCGTGGGGCGGATGGTCAGTAGATGTCGAGCTTCGCAGGTGCCCTTGCGAGTACTGCTACGCTTTCGGGGTGTGCGTTCACGTTGTGTACGCCCTTCGCATTACTGGAAGTGTAAATTCTCAGGGAGGGCAGGTGCTAGTCAATCGCACCAAGCGAAAACGACAAGAACCCGTCGCAGGAACAAACGGAGGACGCCCACGTTCAGTCGGGTCAGCACTTACATATTAGTGTCCAGCAACTAGACATTGATGTTTACCACCGGACAAATCGCTTTATACATTTACACATGATACATGACTATTCTTGACCGAGGATATCCTCAAAAAGCATTCCTACACGCACGTCCATGGTGCTTTAGCAACTTTCTCGTATCCACTTTGTACATTACAGTCAGGAGACACACTAATGGCTACCATTATTGCCAATAAATACCTTCTGCAGCTTCAAAATAAGTTTTACGAGACGATATACTTGTTTCCTCGATACCCTCGGATGGTACATGCCGACAACACGCGTGTACCCTACTAGAGTAGCCTTAACTACCGATCATTAGCAGACTGGAAGGTCGCTAAAGGAAATAGCTGTTACGAGCATCTAGAACTAAAGTTAGCTACGATCCGCAACAACGGAATGGTCAATCTCTTCATTGAAGGGTTTAGCTACATCCCACATGCGAGAAAAATGTACACTACTCGGTTTGTACATGGTTTTCGTCCTTCCAGCACTTGTCACAAACACATTTGAGCCAAGTCTCATCACCCTAGTGCACTGCAATCTGGGCTCCCGATTTCACATTGCGTATTATGCGTACAAACACCTTCACCGTACTGCGGTTCTGTAGTTCCACGAATACAGCGGGTGGTTCACAGGCGTGACTACTAAACACGTCACCGCACCAAACTTTAGTGCCTCCACGTACACAAACCAGTTCTTCACGAACTTGGTGTTGTATAGTATTGTATACCCACTGTTCTGCTTTACCACTTGTATAGGCTGCCATTCTTGTAATCCATCCAACTCAAGGAGGACACCATCATATTCTCCAACACTGTCACCGACTTCCAAGTCTGTAGTAGGCATAAATCCAATACCCACACGTCCAGTATCAAATAGTCGTAAAGTCATTCGGTCCACGGGAGCGTTACTGCATATCGTGTCAATCTGCAGCACTCAGGCGTGCAGTACACTGCCGAAGCAATGTTATCGCACATATCTAAGAAACAATCTTTAATACATCCGCACTTATCAAACTCGCCAATGCCCTTGAATAGAACACCTTTGGGGTTGAGGCAGGAAACGATTTGCTTGCATCCATCGGGCCACGGTAGCCCCTCCGCTTTGTGATCGGCGTCAACCACACTCTCCACGTACGCTGGGCGGTATTGATGAAGTCTATACAGACGATCAAGCACACCAGGTAGCTCTAGAAAAGCTTGTACTATGCGAGCTTTCAGGGACTTGACGTGGTACAGATGGATGCCGCTACGGGTGGCGCCGCAACTTGCCTGATGATGACGTTTGCGTGACCTCGGTTGGCTCCACGCATTAGCCCGTTTCTTGGCTTGGTGACTAACCTAGTGGCGCATATAGCGCGTCGGTATTGTCTTCAAGAACTCATTGGCGTCCAGAATGTCTTCATCAGTAGCGGTCATAGCAGCAGCAGAAGAAATGAGTACTGCTGGTTGGACTTTGGCTTGCTCAGCGCCAATACCCTAGCATGGACGCTCTTCTGCACACGCAAAAGCACGAGAAAAATCATTTGCAGAGGACGTCTGGTCAGGAATTACTGTGCTGGAGGCTGGATCAAATAGTAGCTCTACATCAGCCGCGATGCCTACTCGTGCAGTTTCGTCGGCGGAACCCTCGGATGGATACGCTTGTATAGACAGCTCTGCACTTGATGCACCACTTTTTGTAGCTCTATCGGCCACAATAGATGTGCTGGACATCAAAATAATGGATTCAGCTGGGATAATGCCATTTTCTGCAACGCCACCAGTTCTGGATCTCCCCACTGTGATTTCCTCGCATGGACGACCTTCGTCGGTCGCTCTTTCGCCTATATAGCCACTCGGAGGCACTTGGTTCTGCATAGTAGCTGTTCTGGACGTCGAAGTACCTGACCCCACCGCGGCCTGGTCATCGCTACCCTGATCAGCGTGGGTGTTCGCAAAATCCCTCGCTTTCTAAGCGAAGCTGGCGGCGCGTAGACTTAAATGCATCATTGACCGCATCTTGAAGTGCTGCCCGTATCGTTGTGGACCGTGTGGGGGCGTCGAACGTCTCTGGTTGCAATGCGTAGGTCCTTAACGTGTGCCAACCTGTGTACCTCGGCTTGTACTTGTTGCCGGCTCGGTCCGACACCAGCCTGCACCACATGCCCAGTGGAAACGGCTCCCCGGTGTCTACAGTGACTGGGTAGTCGGGGTCGTCGTCAGGAGCAACACGAAGCACGATTGTAGTCTGGTGCCCGCGCGAATCGAGCAGCACGAGCGCATGCGAGAAATACTCGATTGTATCACTAGCGGACAGAGTCGCCGGGGGTAGCTGTGAGGCGCTAAGGCCCACCATGCCTGAGGCGGAGATGCTGGAGGGAGCCGAGCGCTGCGACATCGCGCAGTTGGTTCTGCAGGTTCCGGCATGAAAAGTTGAGAAGAAGCTTTCATAAGTAGCTTTAAAATAAGAGCTACTTCGAGCTTCTGGGACTACTTTTGGGGCGTCATCGCCTAAGCAGATGCGTCCTGCAGCATAAGCGCTGTGCATTTAAAAGGGCCAGATTCTGGACAGCGTCTCTGTCTTTTTGTG